TAGTGATTTAATTTAGAATATAGTATTTTTGTGCTGTAAAAATCAAAGAATTGATTAGAGACTTTATTAAAATATATCAGATCGAATTATAGGTGTAGTTCTAATTTTCTCAATTGTGTTATAATTGTTATGAATTGTTCATCCTGCTGAATATGCTGTCTCACTTACTTCTAGGCCAGTACCTTGGTAGAGCTTGACTTGAGACATCTTTGAGACACAGGAAAAATAACACAATGGTGTGTTCCCAGCTGTTACTTTTAATCTAATTATGAAGTCAGGGTTTTTTTAGAGAGCCACGGAAGGGATGGAATGGACTCCAGGATATGGTCTAGTCCAATCCTTTTGCTCTAAGCAGGGTCAGCTACAGCAGGTGGCTCAGGGCTGTGGCCAGCTGGATTTTGAGTATCTTCAGTGATAGAAACACCACAACCTCACTTTGTAAACCAGCTCTGGCACAGTGTTTGACCAGCCTCAAAGTAAAAGTTAGTTCTTGCATTCCAAGGGAATTTTCTCTATTTCCTTTAGTGCTCACTGCTTCCTGTCTTGTCACTGGGCGTTGCTGAGAAGAGCCTGGCTCTGTGTTCCTCACGCCTGCCCAGAGAGTGTTTGGAGGCATTGACAAGAGCCTGCTCAAAAGAGTCCCAGCTTTCTCAGCCTCTCCTCTCACCCCCAATATCTCAAGCCTTTAAAGGCCTTCATGGCCTCTTGCTGGGCTCACTGCAGACATCTGTGTCCCTTGTGAGCAGAGGAGCCCAGAACCTGACACAACACTGCAGATGTGGTCTCTCCAGTGCTAAATAGAGGGGAAGCATCAAACCTCTCAGCCTGCTGGCAATTCTGTTTTTAATGCAGCCCAGGACAGTGGTGGCCTTCTTGGCCACAAAGGCTTATTGCAGGCTCAAGGTGATATTCAAGGTGACCTTATTGCGTACCAGAGCATTTTCTGCAGGCTTGCTTTCTAGTCGGTCAGTCCCCAGCACGTACCGGTGCATGAAATTATTCCTCCCAGGACACAGAACTTGACATTTCCTTTTGTTGATCTGCTTGAAAATCCTGTTTGCCGAGCCCACTGAAGCCTCAATCAGCCGGACTTTTCAGAGATAGTCAAGAGTGGCTTCACAATGATGTGGGTCACCTACTGGGGGCATCACAATGGGATCCAAGAGTTCATGTCTGTCCAGTTGATTGCACCTTCCCTAACCTCAGCCCCTTCCACTCAGAGAAGTCATATTTTTGCTGGGATCAAGCTGCCCTACTGCCACCACTTATATGTATCCTTTCTAACTTTGACCTTAGTCAGGAGCTCATTGTCCATCCATGCAGGATAACTGCTACCTTCACTTGATTTTTGGCCAGATATTCATCTGCTGATCTTGGAGGAGGTGATCTTACAGGATCAACCAACTCTCCTGGAACTTGTATCTTTCCAGGACCACCTCCCATGGTATTTGTCTATCCATACCCCTCAATAGTGAACATTTGCTCTTCTGAGGCCCAGAATTATGATTGTGCTTTTTGGTTTGTTCCTTCTTTGAATCATCCCAAACTCCATCATCTCGTGCTCCTGACATTCACCTTCCCAACTGATTCTTGGGAAAAGTATGAGGAACAGCAGAGCTACCCTCATCAACTCTGTGATTAGCTGTGCCAGGAAGTTGTCAATGCACTCTGGAAACTTCTTGGCTTGCTTGTACCCTGCTGTGTTGCCCTCTGCAGATAACACATGGTTTAAATCCCCATGAGGACCAGGGCCTGCCATCATGAGGCTACTTCCAGCTGCCTGAAGAAAATTTCGTTGACTGCTTGTTCCTCATCAAGTAGTCCAGACACAAAGTACGATATTGGTAGCTTTCCACTGGGCTTTCTACTAATCATGACCAAATAGTCGCTTGGCTCCTCACCTGGGTGAACTCTCTGCATTCCTGTGTTCTCTCTTATAAAGGGCATTAATACATTGATAGGGAATCCCATGGAGGATATAGGATGGCTTCTGGTGTGTGGAGAGCTTTGTGCTGCTTTATCTAGTTGAAGTTGACGATAGCAGTAGTTTCCTTTTGTGAAAACATCTACAAGCTTGCTGTCACATACTGCTTGATTCCACTGCCATCCTGGGTTCTGTAACAGCTTTAAGACTGCATCAGGACCAGATCCATCTTGCTCTGAAAGAATCTTGTTTACCATCAGTTCATTTATCTTTTTTTTATTACTAGAATGTCCTTGATGTAGCGTCCCAAGACTCTTTTGCTGTGCATTTTTTTGGGCAAGAAAGCAAATTTTTCCAATGTACAACAGGACTGACAAGTTTTCAGCTTCTCTTTATGCTTTCATTCATTCAAAAAAATTACCTTAATTAGAGCAGGGAAAACATATTGACTTCTTGTCCAGTTTAATCACTCTGCATTCATGGGACCACAGAGAGAACCTGGCTATTTTAATTTTACAAACATGAACAAGAGCGGGTCGTTTGTCATTAGTTTTCTGAATCTTACATTTGGGTTTCTCTCATACTAAGTTTGCTGTACTGGTTCTGAAATTGCTTTGTTTCATTCTTCATCTTGTTTTGACATTTATTCGCATACCATTTTTTTTCCTCCACCATTCAATAGCACAATTTAAGAAAACTTAAGTTTTTATTATTTTTTCCTCCTTTCTCTTTCTTTTTTTTTGTTTTCAGATGTCCCTGTCACCTTTTTGCACAATTATTCATTCTTCTTAAATATGAAAAAGGTCATTTTTATTGCTCTTTATTTTTCTCTCATCTATTAAACATTTCCTAATATTTTTCATTTGATAGAAAATCTCACTATTTCTTTTAGTGCAGAATAAAATAACCAATTTGCATTGTTTTTTCCTGTAGACTCCTCTCTTTCTTTTTCTTATTTTCACTTCCTTGCTACCTTCCTTTAGTTCTCCTTTTCTGCTTATCACCACCATACTTCTGAATTCAGTCAGCACTCTGTCCTTCTGACTTTGCTTCTAAGATCCTTCATGCCACTCTGAATGTTTTTTGGTGTTTTGGTCAGGTTTATTTTTGGTTTCTGTTTGGTTTTTTCTTTGTGGCTTTAATCATATAACCTATCATAATCCTGCAAGTATTTGTTTGTTTGCTTTTGTTTTTAATATTTCTCCTTTGTTCCTGTGTCACTCCTTGAAGTTTCTTTGTTTGATATTTCGGTCTTTTTTGGTACACTTTGTATTTCGAATGGGTGGCTCTTTAGATCTTAGGTTTCTCACTTCTTTTTGCTCAGAGCAGGCAGTGAGGCTGTTTCTACATGTGGAAACATCCCAAAAGATCCTCACCTTGCCTGGAAACAGGGATTGCAGCTACAGTGTGAAAGGATGTTTATGCCTCTGATGTGTTATCTATGTGATGTGTCACATCATGATGTGGTACGGCATCCTCCAGGCTCAGCCTTCATTGTCCCCAAATGACAGCAACAGATAGATAAGAACTGTCTTTAAATATCCTCCCTTTCTAACGTGCACATGTGCTCTTCTGATCTGCCCAGCATAAAGTAGAATCCTTTCTGTAACAAACTTTTAAAATGTGACCAGGCTCCCTGCACCTCAGGAGATGGTATACCAGATTTAAAAACAAAAATTGAACAGTGGACAGGCTGGTTGATGTCTTCTGGCTAAGAGATACAGTATATGTACATTGTAATATCTGACTGAGTGGTTGCATATTTGGGGTGTGCTTTTTTGATTTTGATGGCATTTACTCTTTTCTTAACACACCATAACTTCTCCAAGTAAGCCAGTTATGGATATTTAACTTAAACACTTATTGCTAAGTAGATTTATTGACATGATCTATTGAGTCATACAAATCCTTTATATTGTCCTTCATTTGAAAGCCACTAAACGATTCTCTGTGCTATGCATTTACGTTGTCATAGGAACTGCTTCTAAAGCTGTAGAGGAGAACAATTTCCATGAAGTATCAAACTCGAAGTATCAGTGATATGGACATCATAGCTGCTTTCTAATTAGCTAGAGGTCTTAGTTTATTATTTATGTCTCCCTTAAAAATAATTATAAAAACACTTCTGGGTTGCTTGAACTAAAAAAAATACATAAGGAGTTCATTTTTGACAATTTAACACTGACAAAGTTTGTAGCTCTTCTAAGTTACAGAAGTCTTTCTTGTTTAAAGAAGAGATATGAGGAGTAATTTATCTGTACTATATTATGCACTTTTGGAGCAATAACTTCACAACCCCAACACCGAATGATCTCCCAATGCTTCCATAAACACCACAGTTTAGCAGCATCTTCAGTACCTTCCAAACGCTTCCAGGTGGTTTCTTCACAGTAATAATACATGGCCATCAGTAAAACCATTTTCTTGCAGCTTTAATCTGCATGATTCTTCTAGGCTATGGGCTTCAGGGACACTGAAGACTGTTGTGCTTCTTCATCTTCATACTTGCGATCAAAAGGGTGCTTCTTAACTGTAGTCTTTTTATGACTAAAAGGTTTTTAAAATAATTTTACTTACTCTGTGTATAAATGGTCAGATACCATTGATATGCTCCGTCAAGTACATATCTTCTTTGAGTCACACAAGTTTTCTTATAAAATTGAGGTTTCAGCAAAAACTTTAAAAGATGTTATCTGTCACTCATTGGATCAGTCTGAGATACAGTTAACTCTTTTCATAGCAGCACATAGGGTGATGTGTTTTGGATCAGTGGTTAAACTGCTGATAACACATCGGTGACTTCCCAACAATGTTTGGAATCCAACTTGCTATATCCAGGAGAGTCATACTAGGGAAAGGTTCAGTCATTTTAGACAAAACTGAGAACCTCACAGAATAATAGAGTTGATGACTCAACTGCTCTCCATGTTATATGTCAAATATTTAATATGCACAAGGAATACATGTTGTATAGTTTTGTTCTATTATAGAGTACATGTCCACTCCTAGATGTGTTTGTAGAGGAGAGCTAATGATTTGCTAATTTAATATAATTTATAATTTCTCTCATTTTTAGCCCCTTGTGAAGCCAACACATTTTTTTGCCACAGTAATATGTGTATAAATAATACACTGGTCTGCAATGGACTCCAGAACTGTGTGTATCCCTGGGATGAAAACCACTGCAAAGGTAACACGTAGAATTGAAAAAGTTGTCATTTGCACTGCATGAGATACAGCATATAATCTTCAGTTTCTTGCTAAATATGTGCCAAATGGGTGAAAACTCAGGAAGAGTAATTTGGGGAGAGCATACATTAAGCAATAGAGAAAATGAAGGAAAGTAAAAAAATGTCAGTGGATTTTACTTTCAGTGCTTTCATTTTTTTCTCTGGTGTTGCATTGCTTGTGTCCTGCTGTCTGTTTATGCACTTCTGATCACTTGGTCTCTGCTTTCCGTACAATATAAAGTATAATTAAATGTAGTATTTTGGTTCCTTTGCCATAGTTACCTCTGCAGTAGAGTGACATATGAGTAGCAGGTGCCTTTTAGCTGCATGCTATGCACATAATAGCCCAGGTAGTCTTATAAAGGAAGGTGGAATTAACACTGGAGGAAAGCAACAAAATCTACCTATAATTAAGTGAAACTGAAGTGGAAAGAACAAGCTTGAAAATATTACATCTGGAAATCAGACGTTGTATTTATTTCATAGAGAGAGAGTGATGTTCCTACCCATGCACTGACAATGGTCTTCTAAATATTCCTGTGGTTCTGTTACAAAAACAAAAAACGAGCTCCAAAACAGCATCTGTGTTGTCTTCAGGGAAAAGAGCTTAATAAACTTACATTGCAGGCTAGGGAGACAGTTCACTTCTGTCTTGTATCCCCCTGTCTCCCCCCTACTGAAGATTTGTTCCTGAAAGCATGGGATATGCCAAATTTAGGAACCAATCAAGAAAAAAATTCAGAATGAAGTGGATTAGCAGTCAGCCCATAAATCTACTGAAGCCTGTAAAATCCTGACAAGCAGTGCAATAGGGTAAAACACAAATGAAAACATATACTTCAAAAGAACAGAGCTAAACTGTGGCATAGCATAATATTCTTCAAAGAAACTAAACAGACAGTTGGGAAATGATTATTCATTCTCTAGTTCTTCACAATAGAGGAAAACAGAAAACCTTCATCACTCTCCAATTTCCCGAATGATTTTCATCTTTCCTTCGTCAAGTATCTTTTATCTGGTCTTGTGCATTTATCCTCTCTTGTTTTTCTGACTAGAAAAAGGAGGATTGCTGATTCCAGCAAAAATGTTGTTTGCTGCAGTGTTGCTTTTCCTAACTCTGCTTTTTCTCCAGAGTCTGTGTCAGTCAATTAGAGAAGCACTGAGTGAATCTACAAGCTTAGACAATGATCTACTGAAGAGTTAATTTTGGTAACTAGGAGATTTTGAAGAGAAGAATGTTACTGTTTTGGTGCCAAAACTTCCATTTCAAAGGCTTTTTCTTAATTCCTTTTATATGTTTTAGGTTGCCAGGAAAAATTACACTAAACTGGGTGTTGAAACTTAACCACAGTTGTCTTGCTATGCCTGAGAGAGACTGATGCAAACACTTTCAACTTGAATTTCTACAAGGCTCAATCACCATTTTGTGCCTGCAGCCTTGTGAAAGCCAATCATAGAAAGATGCACAAAAGGAGGGGGAAACTGGTTTTATTTTATTATTTTACTGCATTTTTCTGCTTTATTCACATTGCAGAATTTGCTGACTAACTTATTAGAGGCACCTGAGTAAAGGGTAATAGGTATGATCAGCTTTTGGATTTTTATGGCTGTTTAGAAAGGTTTAGGTAACTAATGGGGGGGGGGGTGGAAAGTAGAAATGTCTTGCACAAATTTGGTTTCTTTTCCTTTCTGAAATGTGAATTTGAATAACTTTTCTATTCTATCTTGATTTGCTTTTTCATTGAACGCTGCCAAAATTCCTACTCAGCTCACAAATATTAGACCTTAAATCCTGTAAAATCTTGTTCTTTCATTGGACCTAATGTCCTAGCTGCATATATTTACTGGGAGAGAGAGAAAATAATAAAGAGAACATCTGTAAGTCTTGGGGGCTTTAGCAGCCAAATGGAGTTCAGAGGTGACACTGAAGCCATCTGCTTGTTATGGTGGTTGTTTTTTTTAAAAAAAAAAATTTTTAAATTAAACTTGCAATATACCCTGAATAAATGAGTTTCCAAGTGAATAGGCCCACAAAGGATTTGCGTGTTGCTTTTTTAGCTTTCACAAATATCTGATTTCTTCCCCATTTCTTTTTTGTTGGTGAGATTGATTAAGTGAACTCAGAAATAGACTAGGCTCAGCCTTGCAGTAATCTGTGAACCCATCATAGTAGTTTTTATTCTTGAACTGTAATTAATGCTGTGCTTTTTTTTTTTTTTTTTTATTCCCTGTCACGCAGAAAAAAGAAAAGCAAACCTATTGGACCAACTTACCAATACCAGTGGGACTATAATTGGGGTGACTTCTTGCATTGTGATCATCCTCATTGTTATCTCTATTATAGTACAGATCAAGCAGCCTCGTAAAAAATTTGTCCAAAGGAAAGCAGACTTTGATCAAACAGTGTTCCAGGAGGTGTTTGAGCCTCCTCATTATGAGTTATGCACCCTTAGAGGGACAGGGACTACAGCTGACCTTGCTGACGTTACAGATGACTTTGAAAATTATCATAAACTGCGGAGATCCTCTTCAAAATGCATTCATGACCATCACTGTGGATCACAAGTGTCTAGTATTAAGGGCAGCCGTAGTAACCTCAGCACAAGAGATGCTTCTGTCTTGACAGAAATACAACCCCAGCCTGTAAAACCACTTGTTCAGCCCATGAACAGGAGAAATATCCTTGTCATGAAGCATAGCTACTCACAAGATGCTGCTGATGCGTGCGAGATAGACGAAATTGAAGAGGTGCCAACCACAAGTCACAGGCTGTCCAGACATGATAAAGCTGTTCAGCGGTCAGTATCAATAGATTTTTGATGAAGACTATTGTGTAAGGACTTGATTGCCCAAACATATTCACTCTTTGATCAGTAAAGACACATTTTCTTTCTTCTTTATTTATTGTTTAAATTTCTGTTTCCTGATAGCACATACCATTATATTATCTCTCTTTCTCATCTCTGCTCCTCTTTCCTGAAGGATCCTGTATCTCTGTTTTACCTTTCTATTTTCTCTCTTTTTCTTTTACTGTTTTACATATACCCCCTTGCATACACACACAGGTGAACAGAGAACAGGTACAATTTTTAAAAACCAAAGAACATTGTGTGAATTTAGATTTTTGGAACAGCCACATACATGTGGTTTCCTTGTAACTGAGGTGGCCTTGAATATTATCCACTGTTGGTCTAACCATCTCTAAATAAATTCATCAATAAATTAAAGATACGTGTATCCATTTTGATGCATGATACAAGAATGAGGAACACAGTCCCGGGGTAAGGAAACCCCTTTCCTCATGGCCTTTTATATAATGAATGACAGTATTTCCAAAACTTTACTGTATCAGTTCCATTACTGATCACAGTATTTTGGTTTGTCAGATAAACATGGGTAGACAGATAAGAACATGAGACAACATAATGAACATATACATATTTAAATATAAAAATGAATTAATGGGAATATTTCTAATCAATAAAAGAACAATCAATCATAATATTTTTAATAAAAGAGCTATTTCTTCTGTATATTGCACTTTGAATCACTGTAAGTATGAATAATTAAAAGTTTACGAGTAAAAGAAAAAGAAAACCAAAAAATTTATGAACAATTTATTTGAAAAAGAATACATAACCATTTTTTAATATATTTGTGTTTTCTCTTGCATGCATTATTTATGCATTTCCTGTTATTGTTTACATGCCCTCCATATTTTCTTTGCACATTAAGACATTTCTTTCTCTTAAAAAAAATACAGTTATTTGGTTATTTTAATCCAATTGCATGTCTGTGTAAATTACTTCATGAATATCTATCACATTATCAAAGTGTACTGTTTATAAAGTATCTATATGCATATATTTCTTTTTTTCTATGCAAACAATATTATTTTGAATGAAATAGCCATAACATTCCAGGTTCTGCCTCATTGGGTCTCTAAGCAAACATGAGTCTGAGTACAACACAACTAGGGTCTAAGAGAAAATCCTGAGGTAAGTAAACATATCTATACAGCAATTGAACCATCTGTTGCTTTTCATTTTATTTGTTACATTGCTAAAATGCATATTAGGATTCAAGTTGTATGTCATCTTGTATGGAAACAGGTTTGAATGTTAAAAAAACTGAAAGCCAGATGATCAATTTAGCATGGCAAACTAAGCAAAATTTGTTAATTCCTTATTCTTGACAGAATTACAGTCAGCCCCTAGCAAAAACTATCTTCATTCCAACTGTATAAAGTCATGTGCTTTGCATGGCTCTTGCATTTCATTTATTTATTTCTTAATTATTATTTATGGAAATAAAAGTTAGAGCCCCAGCATGACAAATAGAATGTAAAACTTGGCAATTTAATTTAAGTCAGTAAGATGTGGAACTATGTATTTTCAGTTCACTTTTTCCATCCAATCTTGTGAAGTGTTGGGAGAAGAGTGTGTGTTAGGATTGATAAATTTAGGATTCTGTAGCACTAAGGTTAATGTTTTCAAATTGAACTTACTTTTTGGAGTATTTTCCTAGACTTGTCATTTTGCATAATTTTTATCAGCACTTAATAAACATAATTTCAGATGTTTATAATGGAGATATAGATAGTTGTTAGTCTGTCCATTTATAAATGTGTATATATAAACATAGATATGTGTATATACATTTTTAAGTGTATATATGTATAAAGCAATTTTACAGTGAAATATTCCATTAATTGTTTTATTTCCTGTGGATAGTTTAAGTAAATATTTGTCTGCTTTATTTTTTTTTTTTCCTCAGAGAGAGCATATTTTAACTTAGTTTTGATTTCAGAACACTATTCATACAGTCATGCAAACTCTGAATGGGAAAATCAATAATGAACTATCTCAGCTCTGTGAAAAAGAGAGTGGACAATTTTCCAATTTAATTTAATTGCCTTTATGCAAACCTAAGAAGTAGAGACATATCTTACCTCCTTAGCAAGATATTCCCATTGCACAAAAATACATTTCTTTTGTAATTTGGTTTCTGGCCACAAAGTGCTCCTTAGTTATTAAATATTTTTTGCAGAATTACTGGAAACTTGAGGAAGAGATTAGTTCCTGAGATTGTCCTTTTATTTATTTATTTATTTATTTAAGTCATAGTTTTCTTTAAGTTGATCTATGTCTGTTATTTACTTGTGTGTTGTGTGATATGTGGAAGAAGAAATTTACATTGAACTTTTGTTATATGTACATTGTTTTCATTATATAGACTGCTTGAGAATAGTGCGCTCCTGGGTGATTTTGAACATGCTACAATGAAATGTGAAACTATCGTCCTTGGAAACACCAGCTAGAGGTTTTATGGACTCTGACCAGCTATTCTCTTATCATGAAAAAAATTCAGCAGTGTTGAGTAAAATTACTAGAAGGCAATAAGACTTTGGTTATTATGCTTATCAGTCATTTATCTTTTTGTTTTTCTCTCTTCTTTTTGTTGCAAGTAAAATTCCCAATTTCAGGAACAATTTATTGAAATCAGGTATTTAGCCATTCATAATCACTTCAATAGAAACGTTTGTTGGATAAGCATCTAGCAATATGACTGAATTTGACATTGAGAAATTAATCTGCATGTATGTTACTGAATATTTGAGTTGGCAAAAATCCCTTTATTAGATACATTGTAAAAAGCATGCATTCACAGTTATTGCTGTTACTGTTCCATTTCTGTGTCATATGCTTGCTACTTGTAACTTTTATATAAAAATACATAAAATAATGTATAATAATTTCGTACCTTGAGTTTAATGCAATGTTTTCTTTTACCTAATTTACCAATCCTGTGTAATTCAGGAGATTAAGCTCAAAATGTAGTTTCTAGGAACCTGAAACACAGATAGAGCAGAGAATCAACTGTATCTCATCCTTCAATTACTCAACAGAACACATTAATTTTTAAAGATTTAAATGAATTCATAATAGGTTGATCACCTAATTTCAGTTAAAAGGTTTGTGATAATCTATGTATTCCATTCTGTACTCTTAACTAATTTCCATGGCAATTATTAGGAAGTTTGTTTCAGTACAGTAGAGTAGCAGATTTTTATCAGTTACACAAATCTTATAGTTGGGTTCCAACTTTAGAAATATAGACACAAACCATTTCCTTATGCAAGATAAAATTATGTTTGTAATTCAAGCTGTAAGTATTAATAACCAACACCAAAATCAAATTTGAGAGTTTACATTTTTAAGGAATTACTATAGGTTGAAGACCCACGATTATGTAAAGTTGAAAGCCTCCTCATCTAAGAACTCAATAACCATGCATAAAATCATGGTTTCATTATCTATTTGAAAAGTATCTGTCAAGTTCTCTTCCAAAGCAAATCTCAGCTCCTTCTGAAATATCTTGTGTCATTCATGGTTGTTAGGTTTTCCTGCATAAAAATGCTGCTAGATTTATTAGAAAAAGTGTAAGCAATTCCATCTATGTTCCTAAACTATAAGTACATGGGAAAAAAGAAAACCTAAAAGACTGACATAAAAAATAAGGTGATCTACATAAGCGATTTACATATATAATACATAATTTGTAAAATTAAAAGTACAGAAAATCTGATTTCTACAACTGTGACGTAATAATAGTGACTTGAGAAGAAGGGTTTCAGGTATTTGACTACTTTTATATCTACAGTGTATTTTACAACTATTTTTTTACCTTGAATAATTTGTTTTCACATATTAGCTGAAAAACAGTCCTCTGTCTTCTGCAGTCATTGAGAGTCATTGAGTCATCCCTCAGTTACATGGGTTTGCAGCATGCACTAATAGTTCATTTCCAGATCAGTATCTCTTCACAAGTTCATACAATTTATCACTGGTTTTTTCCTTAACCTTTCCGAGTCCTAGCTCATCATCCCTTTTTTAAGTATATGTTAAGATATTTGCCACATCCATGCTTAAAATGGATGCACCCATGCATCCCTCATAAAATAAAGGAAGAATTAAAGGCTTGCTAAAATAAATGCATATACATGCAGAGACTTGTATGAATATTTATAGATATTTAGTATTGGAGATAGTCTAAAAAAATAAGGAAAAATCTAAATATGGATTTAGCTTTGAATGAATTATATTGTTCACACAGAAAAATGCTGAACTTGTTTTTAAAGTTGCTGTATAATTATATTGAAGTGCCTAAATCCCACTGTAACACAGAGTTTGTCTAGTCCCTCCTAGACAATTACACAATAAAATTAATTTTAAGATTTTTCCAGGGAAGTGTTAACTGAAATAACTGAACTGGAGAAGGCATGGATATTAATAATTATATTGCATATTGCATGTGCATTCTTGCTTTCTTTTAAAAATATATAATTATGCCACAGAAGAAGGAGGGAGAAACATAAAATGCTGTGTAAACGGAACAAGTCAAGCAAAGTGGGAACGTTAATGCTTGATCCTGGAAACTCCTTTAGAAACATAGTGCCTAATAGCTAGGTATACCCTAAAACAAAAAACATTATAAGTACAAAACTCATTGTCTATTGGGGTCAAATTATATTATTAAAAATACAAACAAAAATGAATTTAAACACAGATAAAATACTACCATTAAAATATTTAATTTCCAATAATTGGATTCTTTGTATAGTCAGTGTGAATAATAGCCTAGTCCACTATACTGCAAACAGTAAAGATAATATTTGCTTCTTATCACAAAATAATGGGATATCTTAATGTGATCTATGAAACTCAAAATACTACAATAAAAGGGGTTGTTGCTGAAAGTAAACAGTTTTCCTTTCCTATCAATATTTTTCATTATTATGAATCCACTTGTTTAAAACTAGAAGGAAGTTCAAAAAAGCTTTAAATTTTATAGAAAGGAAGTTTGGGTTAAATTAGCACAGCTGTATGTGTTAATATTGTATAACACAGTAAATTACTGTGAATTAGCTGAGCTGCTAGTCCTCGTTTCATGTATTTTACCACACGTTTGCCTTAAACTAAAATGAAGAATTATTTTTACTAGATGATTTTGGTTTGACTGGGACAATGAGTGTCATCTACTGCTATGTTGACAGTATGATTATTTCTTACATACTTTTTTAAAATGAGGTTTTGTTATCATTATGCATTGAAATATGGTTTATAGTTTTGGGGTCTGATTTTTTTTCCCCTCCATGGGTGTAGTGTTATGAGTATACTTTTCTTTTAGCATGATAGTTTAACAGCTATACCCAACCTTTTTTATCTGCTCCAGGGAATATGGCCTTTGCAAGTTGTCAAGGACTCTCTGCAGCATCATTTAAAAAACTCAGGAAGTTCATATCGTAAATCATCCTCACTTAAACTTTTTCTATCTTCACAATTCTAAAAACAGCTTGGGGGAAAAAAAAAAGACTCTGATAAATGTTAGCACCTTATCCTTCAATTTTTCTCAATTTTTATGCTGGAGATGCTCTCTTGAACCAATCAACAATGTAGCCAGTGAGAGGGAATTAGATAAAGTGGGAAGGTTTCTTGTTAAAGAGAAATTGTTAGCCCCCACACCCTCCCACACCCCTCAAAAAATCAGACAAAGAAAAGAAACACAGAAAGGTAGTATAATTAGAAGAGGAATATAGAGGACTTTTGTTCATACCTATTCCCAAATTTGCAAACATTTTTAGGACAGATAAATCCTTTAACCACCAAGTAAAAGCATTCTATTCATGTCCAGCTCTGAAAGACAGAATTAATACTTCACAGAACACTGTCCTACAAACAAAATTTGGGGTTTTTGGTGTGTCTTCTACTTTATGTTTGAATCTCCCTGATGGCACAAAGATATTTCAGCTGAGAGAGCACAGTTGAAGTATACAGGCATATGCAAAGGACAAAAGCTGCACCATTCAAAATTCTTTTGAACATAGAAATCTATATCTGATCTGAAAATATCTCCTTATTTGTAGCTCAGCACTTGATGTGAAGTCTTACATTCACAGCTCCACTGCTCTTCATCATTACCTT